TCATTAAGTTTTGTAAATTTATACATACATACATACATACATATATATATATATATATTACCAACATAAATATTTGAATAGCTTATTATTCAGCAATTTCTCTCAACCTTTTACTCATCAATACAACTTGTTTTATTAACTCATTGAGTGCCGACAACTACGACGATGATAACAAAAACAACAATATCAACCTCAATAATAACAACAACAACTCAACTCAAACTGCCATTACGACATTAGTATTCTAGAAAGAACCTACAACTCAACTTGCTCTATGATTTTTTGAAACATTTATGGTCCAACCATCAAATGAACTCTGTCTTGAAATCAACAGACCAGAGTTCGACATCTCCTTCCATACAAGGCTTAAAAAGACGTCATGATGATGCTTGCATGATAGCTATTATTGTAGGTAAATTTCACAAGAGGAAGCATGTCCTCCTAATCTCCTTTATGGTCAATAGTGCAAGCTCGCAGCAAGTCCGCTAAGGTCTGAATAGTACGCTCTGACTGATCATCAGTTTGAGGGTGATATGCTAACTCAACCTCAATTGGGTATCCAGAGCTTCTTGAAAGCTCTGCCATAACTGAGAAGTGAAATGAGGGTCCCTGTCAGAGATGATACTAGAAGGAATTCCATGTAACCTAATAATCTCTTTAATATTCAGCTTAGCAAGTCTTTCCATGGTATAGTTCATGTTAACTAATAGAAAGTGAGCACACTTAGTCAATCAATCAACTATGACCCATACAATATCATGGTTCCTAACAGTCTTCGGCAAATGAGACATAAAGTCCATAGTTACACTGTCCCACTTTCTTTCAGGGATCTCTATTGTTTGCAATTCTTTAGGCAGACAACGATGTTCTTCTTTTGCCTTTTGACAAGTCAAACAGGCTTTAACAAATTTGGCTATTTCACTTCTCATGCTCGACAACCAAAACATCTGCTTCAAATCCTGATACATTTTCGTCGCTCTAGAATGGAGACTCAGGCTGTCTTTTTGTCCTTCCTCTAAAATCTTTCTCCTCAACTTAGCGCCTCTAGGAATACAAACTCGATCATGATATCAAAAAATATCATCAGCACCTTAATTAAAACCAACTACGCGATTTGTATCCAAAAGAAATATAATTCAACGTAATCTAGGATCCCACAACTATTTATCCTTAATCTCTTATAGAAATTCATTGGTCACCACAATCTTGCCACATACGATCTTTCCAGGTAATATATCCATGTCTAAGTTCAGGTTTCAAAATTGCTCTATTAGAAGAGACTCACTAACTCTCAGTGAGAAAGCCTGAACTACACTCCTGCTCAAAGCATCTACTACTATATTAGCCTTGCCTGGATGGTATTGAAGTTGACATTCATAATCTTCAATAAATTCCATCCAGCGCCTCTGCCTCTATTCAGTTCTCTTTGATCAAATAAATACTTAAGGCTTTTATGATCACTAAATACATCAAACTGTGCTCCGTAAAGATAGTGCCACCAAATCTTCAGAGCAAAAACCACTACAACTAACTCAAGGTCATACGTGGGGTAATTTCGCTCATGGATCCTTAACTGGCACGATGCACACGCCACCACCCTCTTGTCTTGTATCAATACGCATCCTAAACCTTGATGCGATGCATCACAATATACCTCAAAAGGTCGGTTAGAATCCAGAATAATCAACACGAGAGAGGACGTCAACCTCTGCTTCAACTCTTTAAAGCTTTGTTCACAGTCCTTTGTCCAAATGAAGGATTGATCTCGACGAGTTAGTCGTGTTAAAGGTGAGGCAATGTTTGCAAACCCCTCTATAAACCTTCGGTAGTAACCCGCGAAGCCTACAAAACCACAAATCTCTATGACTGTGTTTGGCCTATCCCATTTCAACACTGACTCCACCTTTGAAGGGTTAACTGCAATCCCTTCAGCTGAGATCACATAACCAAGAAATTTCACTTCCTCAAGCCAAAATTCACACTTGGACAATTTGGCATATAATTGTTTCTCTCTCAAAATCTCCAAGACAATCCTCAAATGTTTAGCATGCTCCTCCTTTGAACTAGAATAGATAAGGATGTCATCGAAAAATACTACCACAAATTGATCTAGAAAAGGCCTAAAGATTCGATTCATGTAGTCCATAAATATTGTTGGGGCATTGGTAACTCCAAAAGGCATTACCATATATTCATAATGCCCATACCGAGTACGAAAACTGTCTTTGGAATGTCCTTATCATTAACTTGAATTTAATGATATCCAGATTTTAGATCAATCTTGGAGAATACCTTAGCACCTTTCAGTTGATCCATCAGATCATAAACGAATTTTTGCTACTCGTTATGCACAAAGATTGTCGTTAATCCTCATCAAATATGCAAAGAAATGAATGTAGTACTAGGGTGTTGTCCTAGGTCGTCTCCAAGGAATTTTTGGTTGGGAACATACATCAAACACGTGTAAACATAGATTTTAAAGCAAGTAAATGGGGGGGGTTTGTAAATTTTTAGATTTTAATCAAGAGCAAAATGTAAACTAGTGAAATTCAATCAATTAAGAAGCGTAATCCCTAGTCAATCAATAAGTTCTATCCCTATTCTTTCGAATGATTCAATAATCTCCAATTTTCCCTTGAATTAAGTTAATCTATCAAGCGTAAATTAACTTTAGCATCCCAATTAAAATTAAGCATCTTAATGGGCTCCAATCTCTATCCCTAAGATTAAGCAATCTCAAAGATTAATCAAAATTAAGCAATTTTGGATTAGAATTTCGTTTGGGTAATTTAGGGTTCATTAAGCAATGCTCCCTTCATGCAAATTTCATTTCATTATGAGATTGAGGTTAATAAATCCAACGAAAGAAAGAGTAATATTGCCATTAAGCCCAAGAATTCAAGAACCATATGAGTTGACTAGGAATTACAAGAGAATTTAGCCCTCCATATGGATGGGCTTCACAAATGAAAGAAAGAAATGCAGAAACGTAAGCAACATTAATGTAAAATCAATGAGAATCAAAGGGAAATTGGAAATTAAAACCTATAATGGACCCATGGTTGTCACCCAAGGCTCCAAAGCTCTGGAAAGAAAAATGTCCTAATTTGGCAAAGAGAATGAAAGAAAAATAAATGTTCAAGTCCCCGTACCCTAATTCCTAAAATCTATTTATAGTGGAGGACATGTCAGCAAAGTGTCTACTTTTGCCTTTGAAAGTGTCCACTTTAGGCCTTGAAAGTATCCACGTGCATATTTACGTAAACTTGCCAATTCTCTGGAGTTGCCACTATTGGACTTGAAAGTGGCTACTTTGGATGCGCGTAGCCACTATGAAAGGCAATAGTGGCCACGCGCAACATGTTTCCAAAAGTGGCGTCCTGGAGCTTCTGCAGTTGTTACTATTGGACTTGAAAGTGGTTACTTTGGATACGCGTAGCCACTATGAAAGGCAATAGTGGTCACGCATAAAATGCTTCCAAAATGGCGTCCCTGGAGCTTCTGGAGTTGCCACTTTTTCACTTGAAAGTAGCTACTTTGGAACCTTTAATGCCCAGACTTGCTGTAGTTGCCACTTTTGCTCCTAAAAGTGGCTACTTTGGGGGCAACTTTCATCCAAGGGCCAAGATATCTCAGAATTAACTTGGGGACTCTGCAAAATTGTCAAGACAATTAAAATTGCAATCTATATCTATGTAATTAAATGCAAATTAACCAAAAATTAATAAACCTATGATATTTACTCAAAATGTGATTTCTATATTATTTGCACTATCTAAGTCCATTTTTTCTATCAAGGAGCACCAAAAAGACAAGTAAAAATATAATAAAAAGTGGATTCATCAATCATCACTCCACAACAATGGATATTTATTCTTAATGGTCAACTTGTTCAATCGACAATAATCAACACAGAGTCTAGAACTTCTGTCTTTCTTTTTTACTAAAAGAACTGGTGTTCCCCAAGGTGATACACTTGGCCTAATCATCTTTTTTTGCATCAAATCCTCATTTTGGTGCTTTAGCTCCCTCAACGCTTTCGGTGCCATTTGATAAGGTGATATAGGTACTGGTTCAGTTCTGGGAACTAAATCTATACCAAACTCTATCTCTCTGGCTGGAGGTATTCCAAGAACATCATCTGGAAAGGTTTCGACAAAGTCCCACACAATTAATATTTACTGAAGTTCTCGTTCCTGCTCTACATCCATAACAGTTAGGAGAATAAAGCATGAAGCTTCTTCACCAATAGACCTACTTGGTGTGTAGAAATCACTCATGCTAACTTTTGTTGTTTGGAAAAATTAAACATCGTTGCACACAATTAATTAAGACACAATTGGCAATCAACCAATCCATGCCTAGGATTACGTCTAAACCCATCATAGGAATAATTATGAGATTTACCTTATAACGCCTTCCCTCAATCATTATAGAACACCCAACATAAGTTGTTGAAGTCATCATTAAATTCTGAGTGGGTGTCAACACCACCAAGTCACACCTCAAATCACTCATAGGTAGTCTTAGTTTCCTCACACATGCATCCGCAATGAAGGAGTGCGTGGCTCTGGAATCAAAAAGTACATAAAGAAAGGTACCTGCCACTTCTCCTATTCCTTGAACAAGGTTCTTGGCCCAAGTCGCCTCCATCCCAGAAGTGGTAAAAACTCGTGCTTCAGCTTGGGGTCTTGTCATCTACGGAGTCCTAACCATTCTAGGACGCAGGCATTAGCTGAAGACGATGCCGCTCTACTCCAAGTAATTGGACAATCCTTAACAATATGTCCTGGTTGTTGGCATGTATAACAGACTCTACTTTCAACCTAAAGGCATTGGCTCAGAAAATGTAGCCCCCCACACCTGAAGCATTTCACCGTCGAGGGTACTGAAACTCTAAAAGGTAGTGTACTTACTCCCCCATGATGGAGAGTAGAGGTGACAGTTCCCAATAGTCTAGGAGCTGAAACTGTCGCTACCCTAGATTGGGAAGGTCAAAATTATTGTTGACAATTTGATCTGTCATAAGGGCTCATCCTGACACCCTTATTTCCTCTATAACTACTGGCTTGTCTGCTAGACTGAGTTTTTCCTACCTCTTTAGCGTCTTCTAAATTGAGCCTTTCTATAATAGTAGCTTGATCTACCAAGTCAGCAAACTCAATGATTCTCAACAGAATCAAAATCCATTTTATATCAGTCCTCAACCCATCAAAGAACCTTTGACATCTCCATTCTTCTGAAGTCGAATATGAATAAAATCGATAAAGACGCTCAAACTGAATTGCATACTCGTACATAGATAAGTTTCCTTGCACCAAGCTTAGAAACTCCCTCTCTTTTGTAGCACGAACATGAGGTGTAAAGAACTTTTCCAGAAAACTATTCTTAAATACTGTCCACGTAATGACCTCTCCTCGGGCTTCTAACATAGTACGGGCTCCCTACCACCATATCTCTGCATCTCCTACCAACATATACGTCGTTTATACAACCTTCCTTTCCTCAGCACAACCCATGGTGAGGAAAATTTTGGTCCGTCAACTCCAGTGAACTAAGGAGGGTCACTTTTCCTAAACTTAGATACCCCCTGATACTCAACAGGTTTGGTTGCTGCTTGAATTGCAGTGGCTGCTTGATTTGCAACTTGCTGCTGCTGAACAACATCTAAACTTTGCCTCACAGCTGCTGTCATAGCCTCCATAGCATGAGTCGTCTGGTTTACATAAGGTGAAGAAGGATTTGGTGCAAGCCTTCTCGACAATCTTGCCATCTTAACACAAACAAAACTATCTTAGAACAGTAACAATTAGCTCTATCTTAATACCAATCATTCAGCTACACAAACAATCTTTCAATCATAACATAGTATAAACCAACATAATTCAGCACATAACAAGACAAATCATACATCTATCAGCATATAGCAACGCATTAAGACAAAACATATTACAGCAGTTCAACTTATTCAGCACAACATTAACATCCACAAGCAAAAAGCTAACAAGCACACTGCCTCAGCAACACATTACAACTCAAATCAACAAGACATTACTCAACAACTTGACTCTTCTAGAGCTCAACCAAGCCTTATACGCCAAAATTTCTTACATCTATCATGCTAGAGAACAGAGGTAATCAAGCTCGTTCTCCCACATAATTGGCCGATTAGAAAACTTTGGCTTACGATTCACAGCTAAGACTCCCTACACAGAATACATAATTGAAGCCTAGTAACTTTACCTTGTAGGTTTACGTAGACCTTGCTCTGATACCACTAAAATGTTACGTCCTCTTTTTGTATAGAATCCACAATATCTTGAATTATTGCTTGTAATTCAAATTCACCTATGAGAGATAATATAACTTATAATGTGTTTACAACTTTATCATTCAAACTATCAAGATAATAAAATCCCAAGGACACTTTTATATAATTCAGAAATTATACTAGCATGTATGTTTACAATTGTGGTCCCATGTGGAATTCAAAATACAAAACCTTTACATAATAATAATTACATCTCCTCAATTGTAGCTAAATGTTCTAGATCTATTATCTAACCTAGACTGACAAAAAATTCTAGAGCTACAATCTTTTCCAAAATATGTTGACTCTAATATTTCTCAGCTAGACCTTCCATCTTGAGAAGTAGCTATAATATCTATCCTCTTTACTCATGTACCACAGTACGATCATTGCAAAACACATAAAACACAAGGGCAAACTTATGAAACATAGTCATAATTATTAAGTTCTGTAAATATATATATGTTCTGCGTTGAATTGGTTCCACCACTTCACAAAAGCATGTCTGTGGATCATGGGAAGAATATCGTCTTCTTCTGTCTTGCTATACCTATACTGCCATGAGAATACCTAGGCCATTGCAAAGGCAGAGAAATACTTGAGATCTGCACCAATTCTGTTGGGAGCATATCTATTTTTGAATATTTCAAATCCTTCTTTTACTGGAGAGTGTCGATTGAGTTAGGGAAATTGTAATTTTGATTTTTCTTGAAATAAATCAACCAAGAGTGTCGATTGAGTTTGTTCTGGAACCAGAAAGTCCTTGTCCAGGCATCTATGTAGTCCCAGTAATTGTATCCTACCGGATCAAAAGGTTGGGAGAATTTCTTGAATGCATTTGGATTGTTTCCAAAATTCTTTGGTGACAGAATCTTTAAAATCTGTATTGTTGAATGAGTGATTATTGAAGGATTTTTTTTGGTCCTTGTAATGTTTAATAGAGATAGAATCTGAGTCTATTAATATGAACTCATAAAATTGTCTGGTTTTATTCAAGGCATATGGTCTAAAATGAAACCAGGAGGGAAGGCTTTAGTGATGGCTTTGTATGGGTTTTTGTCCCAAAATTTGGGTTCCATTTGGATGACAGAGGAGAATTTTCCTTTTGCCATGTAATGGTTGGTATTTGAGGTTTTACCTTTTTGAAGGCTAATAGCTTTCTCTGTTTTATCAGGGAGACATATTGTCTTTTGTGATTGGCTGAAAGACTGGATAATGGTGTTTAGGTTTGCTAAATCAATTTCTATGTCTTCATCAAAGGTAATGTCTGCCCAAGATTTCTTTGGTAGGCTGTTTAGGCTACCTTGTTATATGGCTAGAAGTGTATTAACAGGGAAAGCATAGTCTGCTTTGGTTTGTTTAACACTTTTTGTTTGTGATTGGGAAGAATCAGCCTTGTTGAATGAGTCTTTTTTGGGAATCACAGATTGCTGAGTAGATGACTCTACAATCTGGATGGCTTTCTGGGTGGATGACCCAGCCGGAGTGGATGACTCCGAAGAATCAAAACAAGAGTCTGTTGTGGCAGACTTTGATTTTGTTTTGTTGAGGGTTAGGGCGAGCCTAACTCTTCCTCCTCTAGACGAGCCTCCCCTAGAAGGGGTCGTTGCCTTTCTAGGCATTCTACTTATCCTGTAAATATTCACGGGTAAGGTAGTCATGAAGAGAATTAGAAGTGCATTTGAGATATTCAATATCAAAATTAAAAACACTTAAAATTTCTTGCCATCTTGCAAAAATTTGTTTTGAAGCAAGGTTTTTTACATCCTTTTGTAAAATTTCTTTAGTAGACTTGCAGTCTACTCTAATAAGAAATTTTTGGTTTAATAAATCAAATTGAAATTTTGAAACACATAAAACAATTGCCAAAACTTCCTTTTTAACAGTTGAATAATTTTGTTGTGCAGAATTCCAATGTTTTACAGTATATGCAATGATATGCTCATGTGACTCAATTCTCTGTTTAAGGATACCTCCGTAGCCTATGTCCGAGGCATCAGTTTCAACAATTTTAAAAGCTTGAGGAATGGGAAGATATAGGCAATTTATCTTCCTGACTCTGTTTTTGATTTCTTTGACGACATTGGTATGAACATCAGTCCAAGAAGGAGGATTCTTCTTAAGCCTATCATGTAAAGGTTTGATGATGTTATTTAGGTGAGGAATAAAATCACCTACATAATTAAGACATCCTAAGAACCTTTGTAACTAGGTTTTATCTAGGATTCTATCTGGAAATTTATTAGCAAATTCAATGGACCTGCTGATAGGAATGATAGTTCCTTGATGAATATTGTGACCAAGGAATCTAATATTAGTTTGAAAAAGATTAAGTTTAGACTTGGAAACAACAAGTCCGTTCTGTTTGATGACATTGATGAAAACATTTATGTGTTTGAAATGTTGATCAATGGATTGGGAAAAAATTAAGACATCATCGATATAGACAATGATAAATTTTGAATAAGGATTGAAGATGTCATTCATAATTTTCTGAAATTTAAAAGGAGCATTTTTCAAACCAAAAGGCATAACATTCCATTCGTAATGCCCAAAGGGGATAGTGAAGGCAGTCTTGTACCTATCACTTTCACAAATTTAGATTTGCCAAAATTCAGATTTCATATCAAATTTTGAAAAGATCTTAGCAGAGTTTAATCTGTTAAGAAGGTCTTTTTTGTTGGGGATAGGATGCCTAATCCACTGGAGAGCTTGGTTAAGAGGTTTGTAACTGGGAGTGCCTCTCTCGATTTCTGCAGGTTTATTAACATAAAAGGCAGAACACGACCAATGACTCTTTCTTTTTCTAATAAGATTTTTGTCTAAGAGATCTTTGATCTCTTTCTGACAAGAATGAAGGAGTTCTTCATTCATCTGGATGGGTCTAGCCTTAGTGGGAATCTAACTATCCTTAAAACCTGACTCATAAGGAAGACTAACAATGTGTTTTTTCCTATTCCAGAAGGCGCTGGGTAAGTCAGAACATATGGAGGATTGGATGTTACCTAAAAGGGATTGGATTTTCTTCTGAAGTGAAGGATTTTGTAATTATTTTTCAATGTTGGCAAAAGAAACTTCTTCTTTCAGAAAATTAATTTGATTGATTTTATTTTGAATGGTGTTGATATTTTTAGTAAATGGTTTGCTGGAAAATTTGATAGTTATTTGCTTCCTTAAATGATAAGTGGAAATACCATCTTTCGAAATTTGTAGTGGAAAGAGGGCTTTTATAAAAGGTGTTCCCAAAATAACTTTATTTTTTAAATTTTTCACAAGGAGAAAGTTTGTTTCAATCTTGAGCCCTTGATTTTCAATCAGAGCTTTAGAAAGCTTGTAATTAATTTTAAGCTTCGAACCACTAGCAGTGCTGAGTTTTTCAGAAGTTTTTTCAAAATACTTTGTGGAGATTAAGCCTTCTAAAATACAATTTGAATCAGCACCTGTATCAAAGAGGGCTAAAGTGTCAAGAACAAAATCATCAATAATGATTCTGATATTAATGTAAAATTTTTGAATTTTAACCTTGTTGATCAAACAGATAAAGGTTTCTTCTAGATTACCAGAATCGACCTTCTCAGAATCATTATCTTCAGGAAGTTCTTCTTTCTCAATATCAGATTCATCATCTAATTGGGAAAGAATAACTTGATAAATTTGTTGTTGATCTTTAATCTCTTTAATATCTTTCTTGAGATTGTTAATCTCAATCTGAAGATCCTGAATAGTGGTAGGTTTAATATTAGAATTCTTTTCTAATCTTTTGAAAATATTTGTAATATCAAATTTATTTGTGGTAAAATATTCTTTAGGTTTAGGTTTGATTTCTAAAACTTCTTTGAATTTATTTAGAAATTCTTTTCTTTCTTGGGGATCAGAAATAGAACTTATTGCTTCAAAAAGAAGATCTTGTTCTTTTGTCAAAACATTGATTTCTGGAATATCATCACTATCAGAAGAGGAAACTTGATCATCGTTTTGGATTTGGTTGACATCTTCCTCAGATTCTTTGACAGAATCTTCATCAGAGGATTCAATAAGGAGATTGTTAATCTGGTCTTCTGTAGAAGACTCAAGATTAAGGCTGCTAATTTTCTTTTTTAGTCTACAGTATTTGCTGATATG